GGAAATGAATTAAGTGGAGTGAGATATCTCTCTCCCTACCTCTCACTTTGATTTTCTGCTTTTTAAACATTTTTTTTTACAAAATAACTTTAGTGCAATAAATTTTGAAGCTCAAGGGTATTTTTTCTCCCATACATATTTTCCATGGACATTTAAACATGCCACATACAATTTTAACCTTTGTTGTGGTAGGGCCAGTGCTGTGGCATTGCAAATAGAGCTGATACCAATAATGTCAGCATTCCATTTGGGCGCCTCTCTATTAAACACTCACTTCTGCTGCTCAATTTCTAGTCCAGCTCCCTGCAAAAGGCCTGGGAGAGCAGCAGAGATGGCCCAAGTGCCTAGACCCCTGCCACCCACATGGAAAAACAAGATAAAGCTCCTGGCTCCTGACTCAGACCTGGCCAGCCCTGGCCATTGTGGCCCTACTGGGAGTGAACCAATGATGGGAGAGCTCTCTTTGTCCCTCAGTCTCTTCTAACCTTTTAAACTCAAATAAATGAATTAGTTTTTACAATTATGTTTTTCCAGTGATTATATTAAAAACTAAGAAGTGAGGTTGATATTGTGGTTCAGTAACTTAAATGGCCTGTTGCAATGCTGGCATCCCCTGAAAACAAGGTTCTGGCTCCTCCCTAGTCCCATAGTTAAGGATCTAGGTCTTGGGACATGTGAACCTGAAGACAGACTTCCTTTTGTGGTTGTCATAAGAATCAATTGGCAGTGGGTATAAACAAACACCATGTGGAACAGAGCATGGAAGAACTGCCTGAGGAAGGCATAGCCATGGAAGGGTGCCGTGATGGCTAATGACAGGAGAGAATCCTCCAGAGAGGAGAACAGAGGCCCCTCAGCCTCTTCCTTACCTCCACATTTCCTCAGGCTCCTGATGATGCAGTCATGTCTGGACTTTGCTGATTTTTCTCCAAGTCCAAAGGAATCATGATTAGGCTCTGAAACTGAAACTGAAACCCTTCACTCCTAGGAGGACAAGGCAGAGCTTGGTGGGAAGGCAAGGGAGAGAGGCTCGTGCACTGGACCCAGTGCAGTGAGGATAGAGTCACAGCAGTGGCAGTGGGCATCAAGGGTTGGTGAGCCTTGAAACAGGAGGCCAGCACTATAGGAATGGGGCTGGAGTGAGAAGCTGCCCAAGGAGACTTGGAAGTGAAGGGGAGAGGAGAAAAGCAGAGGGGCAGGGAGAGGGGACCAGGAGGCATCCAGCTGAGCAGGGGGCCTGCAGGAGGCACTGAGAGATGGGGAGAACAGGTCAAGCTTCTCACTGCCAACTGATTTTCTCAACTCGGACCTTCCCTTCTGCAGCCTAAACCTCCGACTGCAAACTCTGAGCGTGGGTGTTGGAGAGTGGGAATTGTGGAGGGTATTTGGAGCTGTTGGGAAAGAAATTAGCAATGACTCCAGGGGACAGCATGCATGTGGGATGACCATCATACCTGTCTGTGTAAGGTGCCTTTGATGTCCTGGAAAAGAAAGAAAAACAGCATGGTCTCAGCACTCGGCTGAGCCACTAGGGCTGGGAGCATCCAAGAAAGCAAGTGGGTGTGGGCAGAGCTGATGGTGTGAGAACATCTCTGAGATTCTCTCTCCTGTTCTCACCACCAGGAGGACTCCTCCAAGAAGCTCTGATATGGCTCTTAGTGGGACATTGTTAAAGATCAAGAGGAACCACTGATGAGCAGAAAAAGAGTGACATTTTGCAGATGAAAAAGAGTGACATTTTGCAGATGAAAAAGAGTGACATTTTGTTATCTGATTCTTACCTTAGCAGGGGAGCCCTACTCCCTAGGACAGGAGAAAGATGGGGGTGACTTGCATGAACTTTCTTGAAAGAAAGGAGTAGACTCTTCAAACAGCACAATAGTTCAAACACTCAGAAGCTTCTGACTTTTGCCTGAAACAAAGCTCAGGCTGTTGTGTCCATTTGGAAAATGGACCTGCAATAAAAGATCTCTCTCCTCTTTCTATGTAACTCTGCCTTTCAAAAATAAATATTTTTCAAAAAAGAAAACTGTATTTATTTTGTAGCAAACATTTTGATGTCTGTTCATAAGTTCTTAATTGCGTGGATGTTATTTATTTATTTAAAAGATTTATTTATTTTTATTGCAAAGTCAGATATACAAAGAGGAGGGGAGACAGAGAGGAAGATCTTCCATCCAATGATTCACTCCCCAAGTGACTGCAATGGCTGGAGCTGAACCAGTCCAAAACCAGGAGTCAGGAACTCCCTCCAGGTCTCCCACATGGGTGCAGGGTCCCAAGGCCTTGGGCCATCCTCTACTGCTTTCCTAAGCCACAAGCAGGGAACTGGATGGGACGTGGAGCTGCCGGGATTAGCACCGGCACCCGTATGGGATTCTGGAGTGTTCAAGGTGAGGACTTTAGCCATTAGGCCACGCCGCCAGGTCCACCACATGGATTTTAATACATTTTTCAAATACCCCTCACATTTATGGATTTTAATTTTGCACCCACATAAATTTATTCTTTTTAAAGATTTTTCATTGGAATGACAGATTTACAGAGAGAAGGTTATATATAGAGAAAGATCTCCCATTTGCTGGCCACTCCCCAAGTATCTGCAATGGCTGGAGCCGAGTTGTTCTGAAACAGGAGCCATGAACTTCTTCTGGGTCTCCCACACAAATGTAGTATCCCAAGGGACTCACCTATAGCAGTTGTCTGTTTGTCGTCTGGTGCTAGGTCTTCAGAGCATCTACGAGATCCTTGAGCAAGCTGAGCTGTGCCAGTGTGGCAGCATTGTAGTGTTCACATGCCTTGGCACCCTCTTCCTCCAGCCACTTGATGTAGGACAGAAGGAAGTTCTCCTCCTCCAGTATCCGCTGCGGGTGCCTGAGTTCTTTGTGGATTTGTTGCTTCTCAAACTCCACCTGAGTCTGGGGGTAAGATACAGGGACAAAGAGAGAAGAGATGACCTCAACTGTCCTTTTACCCATACTATTCCAGTTTAATTATTGTATTTGACTATACTCAGTACCATCCTAGAACAGTGTGCAGAAGTGAGAGCAGGTGGGAAGAAAGAACTTATATTTTTTTTCCTAAAAGGATTTTGAATGGGGAGAGAGAGAGAGAGAGAGAGAGAGAGAGAGAGAGAGAGAGAGAGAGAGAAGCACATGTGCCAGGAAGGAAGAGAGAAATTATATCTATTGCAGGTAATGTTGCTCCTCATTTTGAACAATCTTATGAAAATGTGAAATATACAATCACCTTCTCATACCATTTCTTTCTTGAGGAATTCCTAGTCAAATGTAAGACATTTCAATTCTGTTTTCTTATTGTGTTATGTTTTATTACTTATTTTACGTATCTGAAATGCAGCATTACAGAGAAAGGGGGAAGACAAAGGAAGAGGGAGACGTTCCATGTGCTGGTTCACTGTCCACATGACCACAATGGACAGCACTGACCCAGTCCAAAGCCACAAGCCAGGAGCTTCCTCTGCGTCTCTCACATAGGTGCACAGGCACTGTCACTCAGGCCATCCTCTATCAACCTTAGAGGTACATTAGCAGGGAGCTGGATCAGGAAGTATAGCACCCCAGGACACAAACTGGTGTCTATATGGGATGCTAGTGCTGCTGGCAGAGGCTTAACTTGTTCTCTGCCACACTGACCCCAGGAACATTCTTTTCTGAAGATCATTCCGTTTGTCCACAGTATTCTGGATCCTACAGAACTCTTCCTGACACACACCAGCTGCAGTCTCTGTGTAACTTCCCCCATATGTCTTCAATTCCTTCTGTGTGTGTGTTATGAGGATTCTGTTTCTTCCTGCTTCACAGTGATTCTAATTCCTGAACTGCTCTCCTCTATGAATGTTGTGCTACATTAAAAAAAAAATTTGTCCCTCTCACTCTTTTCTCGAGCTCAACACATTTGTGTCTCAACATTTTTGCTTTCCCACTGTTTCAAGGGAAAAGGTTTCTTCCCTATCTGTTTGTCTGAATCTGTTTCCACCTTCTCCAGCATCTGCCAGTGGTCCAAACAAGAAGCACACTGATCACTTTTATTTGATGTTTACCTGAGGTCAAACATAAGTGGTGAATGATTTTGTTACAGACATGGTACATACATTCTACCTGGCTTTCCCTTTGTTCTGGTATAATTATCAACACTAACTCTTTCCTTTCTCAGAAGTGTCCCCTTGGGATGATAAATTACATGACTACCCTATGTATGGCAATGTTCTACTTCCCAGCCTCTGATTGCTTTAAGGCTGAATTAAAGCAATGCTTTGTCACCTATATTCACCCTAAACTGTGGTCCCAGGAGACAGAATTTAACTTTTATTCAGGTCTCTTTAATTGGCAGGGTGATGTAAAAAATGGAAATTTGAATGGTTTAGGAGGGTGCCTTCCTCCCCACCACTCTATTACCTCGGGTCTCCCTATCTGCAGACATCTTCCTGTCTATGACCCTGACTTACAGATTTCCTCTGAGTCTCTTCTGTGAGAAATTATTTCTAGCTATACTCGTGGAAACCAAGGATGTGTCAGATGGCCTGAAAGCTTTGTTAAAACTCAGATTGGCTGAGCCTCAGAGCCAGGGCAAAGTCCTGATTATTCACCTTCTAAAGTGTTACTTGTATTTTAGTTTTTTATTTGAAAGGCACACAACACCACACACACAGAGAGAGAGAGAAAGAGAGAGAGAGAGAGAGAGAGAGAGAGATCATCCTTTGGCTCACTCACCCTAGAGCCCACAACAGCCAGGTCTGAGCCAACTGGATCCAGTATCCAAGAACTTTAGACCCAAAGTACTTGAACTTTCACCTGCTGCCTTCCAGGTGTGCACGTGAACAAGAATCTGGATTGGAAGTCGAAGGGCTGGGACTCCAAATAGGGTATCTCATACAGATGCAGGCATCAGATGAAGTGACTTGACCACTATCGCATAGACCCAGTACTGCAGGCAGCTTACAAGCAGCTTGACTTGATTAAAAGAGCAGTGAACACTGCGTCTGGAACCTTGAGTTCAGAACATGTTGATGCCAGAGACTACAGTCAGAGCTTGTGTGCAATGGTCTACAGTTAGACAACAGTCCAAGTCCGTGTGCTTTAAGAATATCCTTAAGACATCTGTGTACTGGGCCCAGCACTGTGGCCTAGAGACTAAAGTTTTCACTTTGAATGTGCCGGGATCCCATATGAACACCGGTTCTAATTCCAGCAGCTCCACTTCCCATCCAGCTCCCTGCTTGTGTCTTGGGAAAGCAGTAGAGGAAGGCCCAAAGCCTTGGGACCCTGCACCTGCGTGGGAGGCATGGAAGAGTTTCTGGCTCCTGGCTTCGGATTGGCACAGCACCGGCCATTGCAGTCACTTGGGAAGTGAAGCATTGGATGGAAGATCTTCCTCTCTATCTCCCCTCCTCTTTATATATTCATGACTTTGCAATAAATATAAACAAATCTAAAAAAAAAAAGACAACTGTGTACTGATATCCACACTTGGCTCACTCTGTTCATCAATAATTAGCTGATGAAGATGAATTTAGGACATGGCAGTCACAGTTTGTGCCATGTCAATTCCTGTAATTTGACCTCCCAAGCAATTCAATAAAAAGCTAATGTGGTAAGCTTGCAGGGTTCCTTTCTGTTTTGAAAAAGGCAAATCTCTCTGCCTGTTTTTAATATTTTAATGTTTTGTGTCTCTTTTTTTTAATGTTGTTTTCTTAATAGCACACCATCTCCCACTACCCCTACTCTAGCCCTGTTTATGCTCTGCATGTTAGGGTAAGCACCTGAAATATTCAAGTTTTTAATAAAATTTATTGGAAAGTCAGATATATGGAGAGGAAGAGAGACAGAGAAAAAGATCCTCTGTCTGCTGATTCACTCCCCAAGTGGCCACAATGGCTGGAGCTGCACTAATCCGAAGCCAGGAGCCCCAAGCCTCTTCCTGGTCTCCCACACTGGGTCAGGGTCCCAAAGCTTGCGACTATTGCTTATTCAAAGCTAAAACCGATATCTATGGAATCCTGATACATGCAAGGCAAGGGATTTAGCCACTAGGCTACCGCACCAGACCCAAATATTCACATTTTAAACACTAGGGATGCAAGTGCTGCTGAGGAAGCCTGCAAATGGAGAACCATTGGTTGGGGGCTGGTGTTGTGGTGCAGGTAAAGCTGCCACTTGTGATGCCAGCATCCCATGTGGCCACGAGTTCATGTCACAGCTGTTCCACTTCCAACGCAGCTCCCTGCTAATGAAAAAAAAAAAGTGATTTTTCCCTCCCTGGAAAAAATTGAAGAAGACAGCTCAAGTTGCTGGGCCTCTACAACACTTGTGGGAGATCCAGGGGAAGCTATTGACTCCTGGCCCAGACCTGTTTGACTGTTTGACCTGCTTAGCCTGGCCCAGACCTGGCTACTGTGGCCTTCTAGGGAGTGACTGAGCAGATTCAGCTTGGAATTTCTCCCTCTCTGCCTCTATTTCTCTATCTCTCCTTCTTCCTCTCTTTATCCAGCTCCCTCTTCTTTTCCCTCTCACTTCTTTCCCTTTTTCTGAAGTGCTACTTTTCAAATAAATAAATAAAAATTGAAAAACTGTTTAGGAACACTTCAGATTGCTACAACTCATCCAACCAGTAAGTGACAGAGCTACGAGTTAGTCCCACGTTTCTCAACATATTATTAGGTGATCTATTGGATTCTTGATATCCACATGGGAGACTGGGAGGAGGCTCTTGGCTTCTGGATTTGGACAGGCTTGACTGCAGTAACTGCGACCTTTTGGGGAGTAAACTAGAGGATGGCAGATCTCTCTCTGTCTCTCCCTTTCAAATAAATTTATAAGTTTAAATACTTATAAAAACTTTTAAAAGTAAAAAAAAAAAGCAACGTTTTCAAGAACAGTAGAGATGACCAATAAAACCAGAACTTGTTCTTTAAAAATATTAAACAACCTGTGCATAATTTTGATAAGACTGTCAAGGAACAAGGGGAGGCATAAACAGTATTAGAATATAAATGGAAAATAACCTTAGGAAATTCAAAATCACTGAAAACCCACAATGTATAGCTTTGTATCAGTTATTTTGAAAATACATATAAAGAAAAATATTTGAAAGGATATATGCATGCTGAAAATCAGTTCAAGAAAAGATAATCTGAAAATGTTAGTTTCATTTAAGTAAATTATTTCTTTATTTTAATTATATTTTTAACAATCCTTACATAGTTAATTAGGTTAAAAAGGTTCAAGGGCTATAGGGAAGAGGGTAACACTATTATTTCCATATTGTTTCCTTCATGTATCTGAGGTAAAGGAGGATGTTGAGGGAGAAGCCCCACTCAGTTTCCCACCCACCCTTGGTCCCGGATGTGGGGCATGCTCTGAGATACTCGCTCAAGTGGTTTTGATAGTTCACCTTTTATGAATCGCTACCAATCTTGCCACTCCAAGCACAATGAGGTAGTTGAAGAATCCACTGATTGACACAGTACCTCATAGGGTCTCCATTTGTCCAGTATTTCGCTGCCGACAAATAGCTGAGATGGTTGATCGACTTCTTCTGTCTTATCTTGGTTAGGGTTCTGAGTCCAGAATTTCGATTGGGGATATCCCCAAAGAAATTTTGAGGCATTCCCAGTCCAGGTTCTTGTGTGTTCTAGCAAGTACAGGGCCCGGCACAGTCCATCGCCCTAATCAGCTGGTGGTTGCAATTGCTGGGCTGGTTCTGTTTCCATCCATGTCTTCCACTGGAACCAATGGGTGTTGCAGTCCAGCCTGATTCTGCCCAGCACACACTGGGCCCTCACATAAACCAGTGGGAGCTGCACCCTAGTTGGAGCGACCCACAATAACCCTGACCAGGCCCAGCCCCTACCCTGGTTTGCCAGTATGTGTAGCAGACTAGTCCAGTCTGTCCCACA